TGGGGTGTGGGGGAAGTGGAGGTGGGGATAGGGTTACGGGAGAGTAGGGGGCTTTGTAGGTGGGGGTGGTTGGGCCAGTTCGACTGGGCTCAGTTGGCCGGGTGTTTCCTTTTTACTATTTTGTTTTACTTTTTCTTTTACTTATTTTTTATTAGTAGTTTTCTATTTTATTCTCTATTTAATTTTGTTTTATAAAATACACAAACAATACCTAAATTAGTGTTTATAATATACTACTGCCTCAATAATTCTTATCCCAAAATAAAACGGTTTAATATTTTATAAAAATCGAAAGGCCCTTATTTGGTGGTTTTAACTACTGTTTTATTTATTATATAGCCTTTAATTATATTTTAAATATGTGGATTCTCCACCATAATTACTTATGATTTAGTTGACTTGTTTAGAACATTTTAGTTTTAAATGTTTGAAAACTTCTAGTTTGACTTTATTTAAATTTGAATTTGAATGAGTTTTGAATCAACGCGAGATTATCAACAGTAATCATGATGAGGTGGCAACATTAGTCGAGGTTTACTGTAGCCTAATTATCCGGGCGTCACAAATATGGTGCACAATCCCTGGTTAGCTCTTGACAAGTCTACTAGATGGATGTATTTACACAACATTTTCTTTGCGGGGAATATTTACACAGCATTTAGCATGCAAAGAAGGTTGCTTGCCAAGTTAGGGGTAAGAATCCTAGTTCTACAGCTTTCCTCCAATTGAGTACCGCTGAATTGCAAGATCATTAACTTGCAATCAAATGTAATGTTAACGACTAAATGACATTTGCATTACCTCGCCTTGTGATCTGTTGTCACAACTCTAGCCTAGGGTAATATAATAAATATATTAGAGAGCATCCATATATCATATTTAAATTTAAAAAATGAATTGACGGAAACTCAAAGCCTCAAAATTAAATAAAGGGCAAAAACCCAAAAAAATATTCAAATTTTCGAAAACGACTTGCTAAACCCTAGAAGTTTTGGCAAGAGCTTATAATAAATATCAGATTCTTCCAAAAAGTCCTAAAGGTTTAAGAAGAATTATTCTGGCTTTGAATTTAAATCACTATTGTATTTGGCTAGGTTTATATTCTGCTATAAATGGAATATAAATTCAAAATTCCCGAAACTTTAGGTGTAGCCTTGAATTGGTCCACAGTGTAGTCACATTTAAAATTTCAGAAGATTGGCTTTGATTTGAACCTCTAATTAAATTCACATCAAAGGCAAATAAAAGAAAAACATGAACAAATGAAAAAATAAAAGAGGCAGAGCAACTTACCTGAGGCCCAGTACTGTAGGAGCCCAACCAACCCAAGATACTAGTTGTCCCCCTATCAAGAGCAACTAATTGAGCGCTCCTTCGGGAGCCTCACCAAGGGTCACTTAGGGTGGGCTGAGAGCACGCCACTTGACGCGCTCTCAACTGTCACAACGTGTCACGCTTTGGATGCTCTCTTTGTTTTTTTATTTTTCCGCACATGTTTTCGGATTTTAGATGTTTTTTTCTTTTTCTTTTTACTTTTCGGTTTTTCATCTATCTTTCTTGGCTTTTCGAAAAAAACAATTGCGCAAAAAAACACGTTTCATTTTTTATTTTTGCTTCCGCGAGAGGCACGGTCGAGCCTCTAAAAAAAGAACGTGTTTTTTTTTACTTTCGCGAGAGGCACGGTTTAGCTTCCGTGAGAGACACATGTTTGTTTCTGCGAGAGGCACGGCCGTGCCTCTCGGAAATGAAAAAAAAACACATTCTCTTTTTTTTCCGTTCCGTGAGAGATACGGTTTTGCTTTTGCGAGATGCACAGTCGTGCCTCTCGGAAACGTAAAAAAGAGCATGTTTTCTTTTTTTTTTCCTTTTGTGAGAGGCGCGGATTTGCTAAAAAACATGTTTTTCTTTCTTCGGCGAGATGCATGACCGTGCCTCTCGGAAACGTAAAAAAATGTGCTTTCTTTTTTCTTTTTTCTTTCGTGAGAGGCACGATTTTGCCTCTGCGAGAGGCAAGGCCGTGCCTCTCGGAAACAAAAAAGAAGAACAATATTTTTTTCCCTTCCGCTAGATGCGTGGCCGTGCCTCTTGAAAACGTTAAAAAACGTGTTTTGTTTTTTATTTTTTCTCCACTGCCATGAGCTCAAAGGTGCATGCTTCCATTTCCTCAGCTCTCCGAAGAACCTGACAGCAGCCATGGCCGGCGACGACTTCGAGAATCTGCGCTCAAGCTTCCCCTCTCTTGTCAAGGAGCTGATTGCCAAGTGCTCGGTCGACGCCTAAGCTCAGTGATGGTTGATGGATCCTCTGATGCTCACTAATTATGCTTTGCTAGCTACCGGTAGTGCATGGATGGTTAATTAATTATTGTACTACTCCTACTAGCTAGGTATCGCTGGGAACCATTACATTACGTCTCTACTAATATGGTAAGCATGCTAGCTAGCTCTCTTCTGTCTAATATTGTTTCAGCAAGGGTACTCTGGCGGTGTTAAAAATGTTATTATATTATGGGACGGAGGGAGTAGTTGTTTGCTTGTCATGTTCAAATGTTATTATATTATGGGACGGAGGGAGTAGTTGTTTGCTTGTCATGTTCAAAATGTCTACATCCACCGTAATTTCATTGCATGTGTGCAAAACTTGCCAATTAATCAGTAATGGAGGGTATTGTGAGTATCAGGTGACGTTGCTGATTGAATCACTATTTCTTCTGCAAAACAATCCGTGAAACATTTGTTCTGCAAATTCTCTTGCTAAACCGTTCTGTTCTCCACTAGTAAATAACACATGAATTTTTTTTCCTAATGGTTTTGCTAATCCAAAGTCGCCTGCTGTTTCTTAGGTCCAAATCAATTTCTAAAAAGTCAACTTCTTCAGTAAACTATTAATATCTCCATATCAAAATATAAGACATTTTTGTAGGCTAATTTTGTAGGCTGAAACATCTTATTTTAGGCTAGTTTTGTAGACTAAAGCATCTTATTTTGGCATGGAGGTAATGCTTTCTAAGGTTTTCGACCAGTCACAGGATGCATCTTCCATCCATCACTGTCCACTGCAACGTGCATATTGATTTTGAATTATCCAAAGCTATGATTTTTTTTCTGCAAAGGCCGGGAGAGCTCTCTTCCGTTATCTAACAAAACACAACCAACAAATACTTTCGAATTCGTCCTTAAAAGACCTCAAATACCCGCTGAACGGGAATAGTAAACGTTAGCCTCTGATAAAATAATCGCCGGCCGGCAGGATTTGAATATGACCTGAAGGAATCGTCCGCACAGCAGTTCCGACGCATAAAAGAAACCCACTAGTTGAGATCATGGCACGCTTGGCTTGTATCAAACTGTTACCTCATTCATTCCAGTATCGTAGAGAGAACGGCCCGGTTAAAACAACACCGCCAACCAGGCGGCGTCAGGTTATTCAGGTGTCCATGCAGCGCGCACAGATGACAAAACGGAACCGAACCGAAATTCTTACAAAAAGATGCACCATACTGTTCTGAGTTTGGCACTAATTGCCGTGGCGCGACAAGAAAAAAAGGTTCAGCTGCGGTTTATTTTACTGCCATGGCAGGCAGCGGGCATGTCAGCGTCCCTACGTTTCCGTGATCGACTCAAAATTTGTATACCATATCTGCCGTGTATCCTAAATCCTTGAGAAGGCCAGTGACCTGCAAAAGAAATCAAATTGGATTGAAGAAGCGGCTAAAAGGGAAAAAATAAATGCTGTAAATACAGTGTACAGTCCGTATCAATGGTGTGCTCCCTTGTTAGCTCTTGACAGGTATATTAGATGGATAATTTAGCATGCAAAGAAGGTCATTTGCCTACCCAGGGATAAGAATCCTAGTCCTACTGCTTTCCTCCAATTGAGTACTACCGAATTGTAAGATTGTTAAATTGCAATCAAATGTACTGTTAATGACAAAATAACATTCGCATTACCTCGCCCTGTGAATAATCCTTTGCCTTATTTCCAGATATGTGATTCATCATTCCAGGAGGACCACAAACCTGACCAAATAAAAACCACGATGAAAAAGGTCTCCTAATAATCCAATTACAGTATAAGAATGGGGTTATCGATATCCATAAACAATGATTCATTGACACTGAGAGAGATAACAAACAAGCTACCATGGACAAAAGTATTCAGATGATATGCTGCTAAAGGCACAGCATGTTCAGAAATGTCAGAAACCACTCACAAGAATAAGAGAATCCTCCCCTGGGCCTGGCAAACCTTTCAAAACCATGTCCTTTGATATGTAGCCAACACCACCCCTCCAGTCACTTGATGGTTTATCGACTGTATAAAACACCTGAAATGTTGCAAAGATATCATGCTTAGCAGCAACTTCACCCATGTGGCAATTGAGCAACCCCAGCAATTCACCAAAGCTAACCTTGAAATTAGGATAGCTGCTGGCAAGTCTATCTAACTCCTTTTTCAGCAAGATATCATCTGGTGACACATTGGCGTAGATCAAGGAAACCTAGACAAGAAGAACAAAGAAAGAATAAGATTAGAATATACAAGGAACATTAACCCAACGATAGAATACTGATGTTGTTTGTGAAAACTATATATAGAGACGTTAATCTGCCTTGCAGCATCGCTGATTAGGGCATAGTGTTGCAGAATGTTCAAGACTTCAAGAAAAATATACTTCTCAACAAAAAGCATATGCATCAAAGTGCATGAAGTCAATGCAAAGAAGCAAAATTGTGATGACAGTTTACCTGAGTGTTGTCATCAGGGTTTTTCAGGATGGCCCTAACAACTTGCAGCATTGGCGTTATGCCAGTACCACCAGCAACCTGGAAGCATAGGAATAAACTGCATTTAGTATATTTGATATGGCTACAGAGCTATGCTTTAATAGAAACAAAAAGGAAAAGAACCAACTGCTCGAAAGCTGTTAAACTGAAGTTATAAGTAAACAAATAATATGAGTACTAGTTTCTCAGCATTGGCCTTGCTGAAATAAAATAAGAAGGTAGATGCTTTGCTAAACTTAAGGTTCTGCCTTACCATGCCAATTTGTCTTTTCATATTTGGGCTATATCTGAGCTTTTCAATGGGCCTATAAGGGAAAGACTTCAGTCACTGAGAGGTAATAATATGTGACGCAGCTAAATCAGATTTTCATTTCACTTTACCCTTTGACTTCGAGAACATCTCCTGGCTTCAAATTAGCAAAATGCTGAGACATTTTCCCTTCGGGATAAACCTGTGCAATAGAAGATCTTCTCAGTATTTTGTGATTCCATTTTCAAAACAAGCTAGCAAATTGCAATAGCACAATAAAAAGAACCATGAATATTCACAAGCAACTAGCAGGTTATGGAATGTAGACATCAATTTTTTGGATACCTTGATTAATAGGTCGAAATATCCTTTAGAATCTGGGTCAGAGATAGGTGTGTACCTGCAGACAACAGGATAAAAGTCTCGTTCGAATTTAATTGATCAAAATTACTATTATAAATTAGGTTATCATATGCAAAAATGGAGAAAAGCTTCTGTGTTTGCTTACGGGCGAATGACGTATTTTCTTTTTCCCTCCACTTCCTGACCTATGGGGGCCCTGAAATGATATAATTGTTTTTGAATGATTAACGTATGTGCAATAATGTGTTTGCTTGATAAAAATAGCATCATTCTTAAGCAATAATTATTATTAGATAGAACAGTGGTTTAAGTTATGGTTAATAGAACAGCTGTTTAAGTTAAGGTTATTAGAACATCATCAGGATCTACGGCATTCATTTAGTTATTCATTTGACATGACTGCGTTTAAAGTTCAGAGAAAAAACCTCTTGGCAGAGATATCTTAGGACTTGGGGACATTAATAAATAGAAATACCTTGTTACAAGACATGAGGCAACATCCAGGCCCAGCTTAGTAGATGGGTCAAACGAAAATCTGCCAGGTAAAATCGCTTGCATAAGACTCAAAATATGAGAACATTACAGATGAACTTAAAAAATAAAACAGCATGATAAAGAGCTGATATTTCAAAGAAAGTTGATTTGCAAATGTAAGTTTGCGTCATTTTGGATTCTTTATGATCTGGTCTACTAAAAATTTGGTATGAAAGTTGAGTGACAAAGAAAGAGAAGTTGTTAACATGAACAACAGAAATCACAGGTGAATTCAGTAACCAATACGTCTAAGCATTGTATTGAAACATACAGACATGCTAGAAGATAATCTACGCAGTAACAATATATCTGCCTATATTGTCACGTAACACAATAAACTATTTAATGCAATCATGTCATCACAAAAGTAGAACTACGGTAACCATTACCTGAATAGCTCTGAATCATGACTAACTGTTGCCTTCTCCTGGAGCTTGAATTCTAACCATTGCTCAGGGTTAAGGGCTGAAAAAGAGAAGGACATAAAGCATTAGTTTACAACTAAAAGCACAACTGATACATATTGTCGCACACTGAAATAACTGAATTGTCTAACGAAAAGGACCACTTTAAACTATAATAAGCTAGCAACCTAAAACTAGAGTTTGGACTCAGGATAACAGGATTCACAGACTTTGACGTTAAGATCATCACACTGGATGTCATATCTGATTCTAAGCAACTAAGTCTTGTAAAACAGCTACGGAGCAGTATCTCACTTTGGAACAAGGCAAAGTAGTCAAATTAGGGTCATAAAAGGTCACTGTACTTAATGGCTAGACATAACTCTTGACAGCACAGTTTCTATCCGCTCATGCCAAAATCCAGCATTCCATCATCTGACAACATAAGTTCATGTACACTAAGTAACTGACAGAGGCATCAGACATGTCTCGATTAACAGTGAGAGGCCTTGATCTATTGTTCATAACAAATGGATGCCTGGCAATGCTATGCGCTTAGGGTTTTGTCATGTGTATTGTGGGATCAGCCTCCTGTCGGCTTGGATTGTAGACCACATTTTGCACACTCTCTCAGTGAACCTATACACAAAGCTCTCGTGTTTTGTCGAAATAGGAGAACAAACAGATAATTGGACACATTTTACTGCACTCTACCGATGCTCCTGACCCAAAAACTTTGTCTAGAAGTCGCTGGTCCTCCGCCAAACCAAAGTGTGGAGATCGAAAACTTCTGGCAGTACACATCCTTTGCGGGTTCAATTGCAGAAGCACATATCAGGCATAACACTATGTTCATTCATCTTGCTACTGAGGAAATGGCATGACATGACAAATGAGATACAGATTTACAAGCTGAATTGTGTAAACTGACAAACCCCTACAGCCACAAGATCGAGAGGAATTTCAAATTTTACAACGAACAGAGCTGGAGCTCACCAACTTTGGCAGCGGCATCTTCCCCCTTCTCCTCCATGTGCGCCTGCAATCATTCGGCACCGTGAGGCAAACATAAACATCGCTTCTTCCCCCTACTAGCCACGACTAGATAGTATATATACGAAGAGGAAAAAAAACAAAGGGTAAATGGAGGGGAGGCGCAGGCAGGTCTCGTACGACGGTGGGGTTCGACGAGGCGTAGAAGAGCGCGGCCCCGCCAACGGCGGCGGCGGCGGCCAGCGGCGCGCGGCCGCGGTAGGTCCCGGCGAGCCTACGCATCAGCAGAGCCGCCATGTTGCGTCGCGGCGGAGGGATCCGATCTGGCGAGGGGCTCCTTCGCCGGCGCGGCGTCGGTGGTGGCGGAAATAAAGCGGGGGGCGGTCCGTCTCGCAACGGAAGCCGATCTGGGGGAGTGTGCTGTGGTGTGGTGACTGGTGACCTGCCTGTGTGTACGTAGAGATTTTGTGTGGGCTTTGGCAGTGTTTAACGATCCCTTCGATGTGGAATGGAAAAATGCGGAAACATTTTCATTTTTTATAATAATTATTGTAGACAGGTTGGCCTAGATTATGCACTGGTTTTTCTAAAATTTTCTTGAGGATTTTCAGCCAGCATGATGCACCAGATTTGCAACTGGTTGTGGAGTATTGTGGTGCATGTTATTGCACGAGGTATTAAAATGATCATCGTTGTTTCTTTGTAAATATCACTGCAAGGCGATTGTTTTACCTTTTTTTTGTCCCGCGTCACTTCATGGTCCGGATGTGGATGTTTAGCAGTTGGTTATGTTGATTATGGTGAAATTTCCTCTGTTCATTCCTAACCGTAGTTCATTGTGATTGACGGCCTACTCGTTGTCACCAAGAATATGGCGTCTTTGAGGGACATGGATAATCTGCTTCCGAACTCAAATACACCCGCATGAACAGTAATTCTAGAAAAGTAAATCAATCAAAATGAACATCAACAAATTTTCGAACACCCTGCCAATTTTTACATTGAAATGACATCTGCGGAGGCCTGTAAAAAAACAAAAATTGGGGCTCAAAAAGACACATTTTGGAGCACTCATTTTCTTTTTGGCACACGCCTTTAAAGATGTATTTTCATGGCGAAATTTTGCTAGATGTTGTAATATTTGTTGATGTTCATCCACAAAAAATATCAAAGAAAAATACTATTATTTTTAGAATTTACTGTCCATGCAGGTGTATTTGTGCTCAAGATTGGAGTAACACTTTCGTCCTTTGAGTGTACTAGATGACCTGTTGCGTCAATGGCGCAAAGGGCGAGGGCAAGCCAAGCATTCAATAAATATTTAGGTATGAAGTTGATAGGTAGTGTTATAAGAAAGGCAGTATCTTATCTACACTGCCTTTATCAAGCAAGCTACATAGGTAAAGATGCATCATATATATAGCTTTGATTATTTATGATCATTTAGCTCGTGGTGAGTAGTGATGAATCTCAGGTAGAACATTGTCATTGCCATTGTTACACGTGCCCCTTTAATACCATGTGCTCGTCAGATTTTTTTTGCATTTTTCAACAACTTAGTGTTTGAGAAAAATCATACGGTAAAAACTTATGCCCCTTTACATACAGAAAGATTACATAGGTTTATTTAAAAAATATACTATGTACCATCAAAATCATATTTCAAAACATATTTTTGTATCATGGCCTTTCTTTTATAGTTATGATTTTATATACCAAACCCGTGTAATTAGCATAATGAACAATAATTTTGATTTACACATATATTAACGTTCCTCTCCAATTGCACAGATGAGCATTTCCTTAGATGGGGCTGCTTCCAAAACTCAAACTATCTAAATCATAGTAAAAACTTTAGTGGAAATCTCAGGAACACAAATAGTAATAGGATTGGTTAGAGTAAGTTGTGCTGCAAATGGAAACAAAAAATGCCAGTATCTTTATTCAAATATTGCTCGAAAGCACATGCCTAGGACGTTGCATCCAGATGTTTCCTCTTGCAAGTTCACAATCTCTATATCATCTGAATATTATCTTAAAAGGTTTGGATGCGAGAAAATAACACCTTGGGTAGGCATTTGTAATTCAAAAAGAGCAAACAACTCAATAGTAGATTTTGGAACTGCTAATCCTCCCCAAGTCTTTGCATAATAGGAGTATAGTAGTGCACATGCTATGCTGCAGAAGATTTAAAAATGGTAGATGGCAATAAATAGGCAATTACAAAAACAATCTCTTGACAGAAAGCATAGGGGTCAGGTCAACATAATTAATAAAAATGATCTCCACTAATTAAGAAATAAACAATGCAACTACACACAGATCAAACCATCATTTGTGCTTGGCATCTTCTTGGGCAGCGGCAGCAGTTGCGCGTCGCTCGGCGTCTTGGGCAGCTGCAGCAGCGGCGCATCGCTCGGCGTCTTGCCATTCTTCAAGAGCACTAGGACTTCCTCGCCACCTCCCTCGCCATATCTCTATGATCATGCATTCCAAATCGAGCAGGAAGTACAAACTTCAGAGTTCAGAATTACCATGCCAACTAAATTCATCATCAGGATTTGTTCGACACCTGCTTTCCTAGCTACTCAGCCAAGCCAAGGCAGGGTCGGCGTAGGGTTCTGGAAGAGGCCCATGGAGAACTTGACGCGCAGGATCCGGGTGACGGCATCGTCGATCCTGCTCATGGGCATCACACTACTGTTGACGCGGCCAGTCAGGATGCTGATGAACTGCTGGTAGTTGTTAGGCACCATGAGCTGCAACATCACATCATGATCGGTATCAACTCATTAAGCAACATTGCTGCAAGCACAAATAAGCAAGTATTGTCTGCTTACCATGTCAAGGCCGACAAGGATAGAAGCCTTGACCAAGTGAGTAGTCAGATCCTGCAGGGGTGGTGATCCTGTCAATGCCCTCCCAGTTGGAGATTACGAAACCATAAAGTTAAGAAGCGACAAAGGCAATGAGCATCTGAACATCTGGAGGATCCAACTAATGAATTTTAGCGCGCAATTGTTTTCCACTCTTTTTTACCTGTAATTTGGGTGTGTTCTTGAGGTATCCGGGGACAAGGTCTAGGTTGGCATGCATCTTGACCCTGTTCTAGCTGGAGTAGGAGATCATGACGGTGGAGACGCCCTTATCCATGGCGTTCTTGTACGCCGGCATGTGGATGTTCATCAGGCTCTTGCGGTTGATGATGGTGTTGTATGAAAGCTGCATATAGCATACCAAAAGCAAGTTTGCTAAGCGCTAATACACTGCAATTTGTGTAAAGTCAGAGGCATGATGGACCACACATATAGTAGGAACAATTAGCAAATTAAGATGTTGTAGTAATTGTACCTCAGAAACGAAGATCGCCATTTGCATGGTTCCACCAGGTTGTACCCCACCGGATTAACAAATCAATCCCACCAGTACAAATGCCCTCTAGAAAAGAAAGAAATGAATGGAATCACAATCATTTTCACAAGTGAAAAAGCAACTAAATAGCAAGCAGCACCTAAATGAAATGTTGTGTTCAGAAGAACTAATGCAATTAAATATGGCCGACCGACAAAATATTAACAGAGATACAAAAACTAACACAGCAAGTACCACAATGATTATACAACAACACGATCATTTGCATGCACTGAATCTTAGCGCCATTACTTATACAGTAGAAATCAAATTAAACGGAAGTCGCTAGAAATTAGTAGATGTAAGTTAATGCACAAACAAACTAAGACTATAAAACAATCTGGTCATATGAGCTAACCATGTAAACTCTTACAATGGGTAGTGACAGTGTGCAGTAATACGGTTTCTTTTAGAAGCATTCCAAAAAATTGATCAACTAAATGGAAGCAAAGAATAGGAAGTGATCCGACCTTTTCCTCTCATCAGATCCAATATTTTCAGTGGCATCCTTTTTTGTGATTAGTCCAGAACATAAATTGATCCTTCTTCCTCGTTACTTCCAAAACAAAATCAAATCAAGATCATAATGAGCAAATTTTAGTTAGTACATCAAATGGAATAAAATCTGCCAAATTGCTTCCGTAAAAGAATAGTCTGAATTGTACAAACATGCTTAATAACAATCATGGTCTAGCAAAACCAAAACGACCAGATTAGTATATGTCATCGCTCACCATTGATATGTTACAAAACCTGGGTCAATTAAGCCGCCAACCTGTTTACAAGCAAGCACAAAACACTACAAACAGCATGAGGCAAACCTTGCAAAAACCCTGGATGAGTCGGGTGGATCTCAAACAATGTTAATTATCATTATTATTATACTCACCTCCTCACATAACCAGTTTCAGATGCAGATAGCAGAATCACCAACAGAAGAAAATTTATATTCAGAAATTTACCCCTTGCTTGCATTTGCAACATTTGAACAAAGCCCATAAACTCAGAATCAATCTAGACTGGTCCTATAAACAGGAGTATTTGCTATCCATAAACAAAACAATGATACCCAGATCATGCAACAACAACGGCCCCTCCACTAATTCATCATTGACAACAAACCCACGAGGAAGAAATGGCAAACACAAGGTATATCTTATTCTTATAGTTATACAACCGAGGAAGACATGGTAAACACAAAGGGTATATCTTGTTCTTATAGTTATACAATAGAACATCTATAAATTGGATTATCTAAACTGAACAATGAAAAACTGTGAACTTAACTATTTTACCTGTAGCTAAAAAATGAAAACCATATATCATAAAATCCTTCCACCTGATAGGGGAAAAACAATGTTTCTTTCATAAATAGCAAGGATACTATTCAATCTGTTTTTCAGCAAAAAAGAGATGTCGCAAAATGCAAGGCTTTCTAGAGCATACATATCACATAAAGAGGGGAAAGCCTAGCATAGCAAGCGAAATAGTTGTTCTTACCAAAGCATTATCAGGCAATTAGCCGAAATATCTGATGAGGCTTGAAGGGGAGAGAAGGATTGAGAGAAGCTCACCTTGAAATCATCCATCCCTCTATGCCAGTGCCGCTCTGAGCTCCTCCCATGCACACCATCTTTAGCCGTCGGAACATCCCCTTCCCAGCAGATCCATGACACTGCTGCTCCTTGTCACACCGTGAGCTGTCCGTTGCCTGGGTCTCCGGCCCCCTTCTCCACCCACACCGCTGGTGCATTCTACATCCTTCAGCATGTGGCAGCACAAAATCCCCATGCAAGCAAATTGACCATACTTTCAATTGAACTCTTCCCCATCGTCTATCATCTTCACTTTGTAAGACACCTTGCTCCATTTCTCTCTTCTCTTTG